ATGCAGGAAGTCCTGGGACATCTATTCTGCCTAGGACAGGCCTCAATTCAGCTCCCCGTTCCAATAATAACAGCCAATATCTTAATAAAGAACGGCAAGACGGAAGCTACCAATAGCACGGGTTTGTGCTGAAGAAACGTCCGACTGGGCACATCATTCATCTAGTCGATATCTTTATCCGGAGTCTTGAAGGTTCCCGATGTTCTGGCGGACCCGGCGGCAGATGCCTGGCCCTGTCTTGTTTGGTACTACCTAAATTCTCAAGACGTGCATGTTTAGCTTGACGAGCATCATATTGACCGACACCAGGGGAAGGGGTTCTGCAAGGATCTCCATCCATCGTACCACGTTCAATGGGAGAGACTCCAGTTCGAGGGATATTCTACCGCCGGGCTCATCGCTTAGCTCGCATGCAGGCGCATCTCCACCTCGGAGCTATTACGCGGTAGTTCGGGGGTTGACTTGACCAGGGGCTGGCTCCTACCAACCATTTTCCAACGGCATTTGGGTTAACATCAACGCAGTTCGTTTCCCGGCATATCATAACGGCCTTAGCAGCCTGATTATAGCTGTGTGAAACCCACTTGAATTCCAGCTAGTGGCGCTCGACGTTTCGACTGTTGACAGATTGTCCTGACCAGCGTTTGTTTGCGTCCATCACCAAGGGTCCACATTGGGGAGGTCGACCAGGATGGTTATCGTCCACCGCCTGGCCGTTGGTCGGTCGTTGGTTGAGCGGGGAAGTGAGGCCTGCTAGAGTCCCGGACCATGCTGCTCTCTGTGATCATGCCAGTTTGATCACCGCGGTAAGAGGGTCACGACCAACCGGGTGAGTACATATACAGAAGCGAGCACCGCCATGTCCTGGGGCCTGCAAACCAGCTTAGCCCAACAAAGATTTCTTCACCCCGCACCGAAAATGGCCTCCGATTCGCAAAAGATTATTGACATCCTCGAAGGCGTCAACCATGCCTCCTTCGCTAACGAGGTAGAGCGTCTCCGCGTTCGCGCGGCAGCCCGGAAGCTACTTGCGAAGGTGGAGTCGCCCTATGAGCGAGCCTGGGGTTTCTGCTTCGAGCACCCTGTTGTCTTTGCTGCTCTTCAGACCTCCATCGACCTCGGTCTCTGGGCTGCCTGGAATGCTGCCGGCAGTGGTGACAAGACCATTGATGATCTAGTCAAGCTTGCCAAGCATGATATCCAGCCAAACCTGCTTCGTACGCCATCAATTATACAACCTCCCGACGTGAACTCTTAGGCTCATAATTTTGGTATAGGTCGACTGTTCCGTCTGCTGGCCGCGTTCAACGTGGTTGAAGAAGTTGGCGTGGACACATTCAAGCCCACCCCATTCTCAGCCGCTATTGGCGACGAGAGCACCAAGGTCCGAGCCTCTCTCGAAGCTGCGTAAGAGCCCATTGCCTCACATACCCATGATTTGAGTAGGATATGTAACTGAACAAGTCTCCCTACAGCAACAACCAGTACATCTTGGCAGGCCACAACCTGCCCAAGTACCTGGCCAAGATTGGCTACCAAGAGCCCACAGCTGCTGAGGACAACAACCACTCGGGAAGCGACGCCGATGGTCTGAACTTCTTCGGGCGTCTGCAAAAGAGCCCCAAGTTTTACGAAGATTTCACTGGCCACATGGAGGCATGGACCACCTGGAAGACCCCCTGGACCAAGCTCTACGACCCCAAGAAGCTCATCGAGGGCGCCACCATTACGGAGAGTGCTCCTCTTGTTGTTGACCTGGGTGGCAACACTGGTATCGACATCTCCCATGTCCTTACCGCCCAGCCTGACTTGCCTGCTGGGGCCCTCGTGCTTCAGGATCTCCCTGAGATCATTGCCCGGGCCAAGGTCGACGCTAAGATCACCGCTACCGCTCACGATTTCTTCCTGCCCCAGCCCGTCAAGGGTAAGAAACACTCCATCACCCACGCTAAGCGGTAATCATTGCTAACACAGTACTTATAGGAAGCAGAGCCTACTTCATGCACGCGGTCCTTCACGACTGGGCTGACGACAAGGCCACTGAGTTGCTGAACAACACTCGTGAGGCCATGGTCAAGGGTTACTCCAAGCTCTTTGTTTATGATATCGTGTTGCCTCCCCAGGGCGCAAGTATCAGCCAAACCACTATGGATGTCGAGATGATGTCTCTGCTTTCGGCTAACGAGCGTACCAAGGACCAGTGGGAGAAGTTGCTGACCGGTGCTGGCTTCAAGATTGTCAACTACCACCCCGACCCCCAGGAGTACGAGATGTTGATCGAGGCCGAGATCGCGTAATTATTGAGCTATGATAGAGCGTTTAGATAATTTATGACATGAATAAATATGCACATGATATGATAGATGACAACATCTTCAACCGCTACCAGAACAGCCTTGTATCTCACAGTTGTTTGACCATCCTGAACCTGGCGGTGGACCTTGTTGCAATCCCGTTGCGGGCACTAGCCATTGACGGCAGCTTCGGGCCCGTTAACCCTGTCTCAGTCCGAACTGACACCACTTTTTTCAGGTGGCGGTTTATTGATTTCCTCCTTGGCAAGACAAATACAAGCTTAATCTTTTTCAAACCTTGACCTTCTCCATGCATTTGTATAAGGCTGTTTCCCTGCTAGTTTCTGTAGCTTGAGATGTGGGAATTATCACTGAAACACGCTGAAAATCGTAAGATTTAAACGACAAAGGGGGGAGGCACAGCAGGACTCCGACTCAAAACTACACCAAAGTGACTAACATCTCGGTAAGACTCCAAAGTCCAAACAAACCCACGAGGGAGATAATAAAGCCATGCCCGTTTTGGCTTTGCGAGCTTGGCATGTCAAGGTGGATCAACTGACACTCACCCCTGACTCTTGCTGGTCTGACAAGTCGGCCATTGACGATTCATGAAGCGAGGTATCCTCTTTTCTTTTCTTTTTCGAAAATCATACTATCTGCATATTGCATGCCTCGGCGTGTATTTTACCCCTTTTTTCTTTTTCTATATCCGTCTTCATCCGAACATCATCTTCAAGGACCCAGTTCCTTGGACTCGGCGCGCTTCTTGCGCCATTTTGGTCCCAGCCTTATTTCCGTGTAGATAGGTCCAAGTAGCAAAGCACAAATCCCCCCGAGGAGAGTGTAGGTCCATCCATATTCCAAGCTCTGTGTAGATTTGTCTATCAGAGAGACTAAAAGGGCGGCAAGTGAACACCGCACGAGATTTGTCTACCAGTTCAGTCAGCTTGGAGGCCTCTGATCTAGGGAAACAGAACACACTCACACATGCAATCACCCCGGAGCTTTGCGACCTCACCACGTCAATCATCAAAGTCATTGTAGAATTCAGAATGGATATAGAGGTGTATCCAACTAAGAGAGCGGTTAGCACAAACCTTGAAGACAGTACCTGAACATGGGCTACCCACTTGCAACTTGCAAAGCCAATGGCCCCGCGATATGGGTTTTGCTCTGGATGCACCAGCCCCATGCAATGATGCAACCCACAAAAATAATCAATAGAGCCGGCGCCGTCCGCAGTCTAGTGTGCTCCAGCGGGATGTCAGGGTTGTCCTCGTCGCTGGGCATATCAGATTCACTCTGCTGATGTTGACTATCGAGTCTTTTCTTCATCTTGGCATAGTCATAGTCAAGAACCTTGCCAGTGATGGTGGACCCAAGTATCATACCCAAGCCGGTAGGCAAATAACACAGCCCGAGGTCGGTCTCTGACAGAAAAGGATATATGGCGCTAAATGCGGATGAGATGGTTGACGTGATTGTGTAGTTCACTGCGTACACGATGCCCGTGTATGCCAGTGTTAGTAGAATATCCGCGTACGTCAGTAGACGAAAGGGGTTTGCTGATCCTTGTTTCCTGGTGCCATCTTTCTGGTATTCCTCCGTGGGGACGCTGTTGGTTTCGGCTTTGCCCAAGATGGGGATCATCGGCCGAAGGAGTCTCTGGTTCGGTTGTATGCTTCCATTCCCCACCAACGCTCGCAGTGTTTCAGGAAGAAACAAGAGAATTAGAACAAAGCATGCTGCTGAGAATATAGCGAGAAACCAAAAGATGCTTCTCCATCCAAGATGCTCAGACAACACACCCCCGATAGCAGGCCCAATGCACGGAGCAAGCATTGGACCCAGGTTGAAGAAACCGAAGAACCCTCCACGCTGGTCGACAGAGGCAATGTCGCCGACCACACCAGCACCAAGCGCAATAGTGCTAGCACAGCCCCCGGCTTGGAGTGCTCTAAGGAGGAGCAGTAACCAGAACTGAGACACTGGACACAGCGCCAATCCTATAGTCGACCCAATGAGTATCAGTAGACAGAGAAGATATAAAGGACGTCTTCCATAGCGATCAGATAGTGGGCCCCATAGCATTGGCGAGATTCCTTGCATCGCCAAATAAACCGTGACAGTCAAGTTGAGGTCCTCGATTGACCGGTCAAACACAACGGCCAGTTTCGGGATGGCGGGAAAGTAAATGTTGGCCGGCAACGGACTGAAGAGGCCCGAGACAGCCACAATACCGACAAGAATCCATTTCTCCCGAGGACTGTATATGCTGTATACTGTTGAAGGCGCAGCATTGGGATTAGCTGATGGTGGTTGAAGTTTCGATATTTTCAACGGCTGTCCTCCAGTTCCTTCAGACTCGGCTTTGAGTGCCGCCATCTTGTCCATCCAGATTTGGGTTTCATATTAGACAGCTGACTGTGAACACGAATTCTATTTTCATGTACAATTGAGACCGGCACGTGCAATAATTGATGGGAAAGTTGCGGCAAGCAGCTTATCACGATGTCCCACATATTAGTCACAGCCGGCCGGCAATACAAGATAAGAACAAGATATCGTGCCCCACAACATTGAAGCCGGCCGGAACCAGGGGGATAACGTGGAAGGCTCGTCGATGTTTGTTTCATTCTCATCCTTCGAGATCTGAGTGCTACGACATCTGCCACTCCTTACCCTGTATCTCAGAGTGACTCCATGGATCCGCACTCCGGGCCGGATACCCCTTCGATCAGAGTCTTTACGCGAGCCTCCAAAGCCTGCCGGCGCTGCCGTCGTTTGCGAATCAGGTGTTTCAATGACCAAGGCAGCCCCCCATGCGATCCTTGCCGTCGAGCAAAACATGAATGCGAGTTTCCACGGCGAGGTGAAGGCGATTCAGATCGGTCCTTCCGGCGACCAAGAACTGCTCAAACCGGTGCTGCACATACTCCTGATCGAACGCCAGACAGTGTTGATACGTCCTTGACTACTGATATTCCGTTCAACAACTCTATCCAAACTACCCTTGTTCCTCAGCCCGTCGGAGTTGGAACCATAAGGCCGGGATGGGAAACACTGCCCCCGTATGATGAGGTGGTGGAAGGGGTCCAAACCCTCACAACATCTTATTTTCAACTAGGATTTCTACCCAAGGTACTCTTTTTCGAAGAAATCAGAAAGAACAAAGAATCCATCGATGTCTTCTTACTCTTCAGCATTCTGAGCGTGTCTGCAAGGTTCACCCCAAGCCTAGTTAAACGCTACCAAGGGGGAGATGCAGCAACAGAGCGCTTTCTCAGCCAAGCAACCTGTCTCATCCAAGATCGCATGTTTGACCCTTCCTTGAACTCTATACAGGGATTTTTCTTGATGAGCATCGCCGAATGGGGAAACGGGGATAAGAACCGGAGTCTCATATACATGGGCATTGCCGTGAGGCTGGCTGGAATCCTGCGCTTACATCGCGAGGATACCTACTGTCTCCCCCAGACGGCTTCGCAGCAGGAAGTCGTCTACTCCGAGGTTGCTCGACGTACATTTTGGATGTTGGAGACGTTTGAGAACCTCCACTCGGGGTCCGATTCGCCCATTGCATTCTCCTACAGTGATATCACGGTGCTGCTCCCCTGTGAGGAACGCGAGTTCACATTTGGTGCCCGACCACACACTCGTGCCGCACTTTTGGGAACACCCCCAGCCATCAAAGAACCTAACCTAACACGACTACCTTCTCGATCTTTGTTCGCAACTCTCCTACAGACTCATAGTTTATGGGGTCAAGTGGCTAGATTGGTTAGCAACGACGCGCCAAAAATCGGTGCAGGGCATGGGCCCAGGCTAGATCCAGATGATTATCAAAACCTTTCCAAGGCCCTGGCAGATTTTGAGAGCGAGGTCCCCAAGCAACATCAGTGGTCAGTCTGGAATCTTCGTGGTTTCAAGATTGAAGGACTCGATCTGGCGTACCTGTCCGCTGTCATGGTTCTGCGCTTGAGTAACATCATACTGCGCCGAAGCTATGTCCACGACATGCTCAACAGCCAGAGTCGTCATTCTGAAACGCATACCTCGCCTTCAAGCGACACGGGTCCGCCCTGGTCTACGGTATCGGAGGAGCTATTTGACAACATGCTTAGACTACATGAACAAATCACGGCCTTTTTTGAATACAGGTTTCCTGATCAAGGTTACCCAGCCCTAATCGTGTTTTGCGTCTATGTCTGCGGATCATTAGCAAATCATTTACGCCAGCAACCTCAGATATGCCCTCGAGTTGCGCCGCAGGCCATGGGTATCTTGCAACAGTCAATCAAAGGACTGAGTGACTTACAAAGCGCTTGGCCACTCGCTAAGCGCTGGTACAGGGCTCTATGTCGTGCAAGCGATAACTCACAGCTAGATATCCAAGTCGAAGCGGTTTTAGATGTGCAGCCTTCTCATACTACCAACGGCCCCGCGCCAGCTGTCGAGGGATATAATACAGACGAGGAGGCCTGTACCAGGATGGATGTGCAATTTAATGATCCTTTCGTCTCAGACTCAATGTTTGAAGTCTTTGAGACTTATCTGTGGGGAGATATGCAAGGGAGTTTAGACAACGGAGCATTTGGTGAAGTCTTTCCTGCCTCTTCGTGGAATTGAACCTTTCAGGATGGCCACCTTTAGCGTGAAGATATCACAAAAAATATTAAGATAACCATTTGCGAACATGTTTTTGCTTTTAAAAATCATATGTCGCTAAGCTAGCCCTCAACCTTCCATCCTTGGGATAGGTGCAAAATGGCATCCTCCTCCGAGACTACATCGGAATATTTGGCGTCCAGATCGAATAAATTGGAGGCGTGGATTTGCGGCGTACGGTCACCGCAAGCTGATCCCACAACCTAGAAATTGTCAGTACATGGTGCACATTCCGATAGTAGTGAGGAGGCAGTACCATAGGACGGAATCCGGATTGCATTGCGTCCAATGTTGTGGCTCTAACACACCCTGAGGTGCTTACGCCACAAATGACCACTGTGTCGATATTGAGAACCTAGAATCAAGGATATGAGCGAGCTGAAACCATTTCGATATTTGAGTGGACATGATGTGATTCACCTGAAGCTCTGTTGCAAGCGTGGTTCCAAAGAAGGCACTGGCGTACTTCTTCACAACAACTGTCTCTTCTGGGAGCGGCACAATCCCATCTACATATTCTGCCAGGCCTCTTTTGTCACCCTTTTGCCACACACTTAGGCATTTAGATTTGTGCCAGAATAGCCCGGCATCTTTCATCTCTGGATGCGTATACTGAACCTCGCTCCAAACTACAGGAACACCACTGTTTCGAGCAGCCTTCAGTAACCGCCGCATAGAGTCTGGGGCTGCTTCCGCCTCAGGGTTTCCCAGCAGAGAGAGCGGTGACCCCTCCGTCCAATATGCCCGACATACATCTATAATCAGAAGGGCCGGGCGTTTTCCCCAGCCCATCCGGCCCCCGAAGCCAGACTGGGAATACGACTCGGAAGAAGGATGAGATTGCATAACGAATGATTGTTGACAGTTTAGGCCGTAGAGTCCCTGGGGGTTGTTGGTGCGATTTTTGATGGTGGGTAAATATAGCGCTCTTGATGCCCAAAAAGCTCGGCTCTAGGCGTTCAGCATCGTATTTCCTGCCTATCTATGCCTGCTTGCTAATTTGCCGGACCGGTTATTATGGTTGGTAGTGGGGTGAGATAAGCTATGGTCCATCATTGCCGGCCGGCAACTCTCACTCCGCATTCACAAAAGCCCGCATTTTGTCATTATGAAAAAATCAACCAAGACTAGCAAAGTCACAGGACATCCCTGAAGGCAAAATACATTCATTCCAAAGACGCCTAAACTGCCATCTGCCACTAGGTTCAAACCATGTCTAAGCAAGATCGCCCAGTCCATCAGCCAATCCATCCAGATGTCCGGCCCCTCTTAGATCCGGAATATGTTGCCTTCCATGATGAGTACTTTCAGTACTTGCTCCCCGATGACCGAAAGGTCTGGGACGGATCTGCCCGTGTGCCTTCAAAGACATTACCACGCACGGAATCTGTACCCGTGGACGTGGCTAATGTTCGCGACATCAGCTTGGAAAACTTCAAGCTCCGAGTGTTTACTCCAAGCTCGGCGAGGCCAGCACAGGGCTGGCCAGTTTTCCTCTGGTTCCATGGCGGGGGCTGGGCGGTGGGAGACATCACCAACGGGAACGATGTATGCGCCCTGATCTGCAAGCGCGCCGAATGCGTCGTTGTCACTGTGGGCTATCGTCTCGCACCCGAGCATCCCTTCCCGGCAGCATTCGATGATAGTGTCGAAGCACTCAAATGGGTAGTTGGGAAGGAGGGCGAGCTGGAGCTGAAGATCAATCCTTCTCAGGTCGGTGTTGGTGGGACTTCAGCTGGAGGGCAACTCGCGGCATCGCTTTCAATCAAGGCAGCAATGCTTGAACCTCCTATACCAATCAAGTTCCAACTACTTGTTGTTCCTGTTATTGATAACACGGCTACCGAAGCCACAGTTTGGGCCCCGAATAAGAATGCTCCGTGGCTGACTCCGGCAAGAATGCTATGGTATCGTCAGATGTATCTTCCTAATAAGGAGAGCGAAGAACAATGGGAAGCCTCTCCCTGCAAGGCATCACCTCCTCTTCTAGCTACGAGTCCGAACACGTGGATTGCTGTCTCCGAGCAGGATCTCTTGGCCCCTGAAGCCATCGCGTACGCTGACCAGTTGAGGGATGCCTGGGAAAACGAGTCTGTCAAGAAACAGGTATCTGTGAAGTCGTACAAAGGCTCAACCCACTCAATACTTGCTATGTCTGGTAAGAAATTCTTCTCAAATCAAGTTACGATGGCCCTATAGCTTCGCATCACCTACTGACATCATTGTGCAAAGGCATTTTACAAAAAGGAATAGAGCTTCTAGAGGATACAGCAAACCAAGCGGCATATTGGTTCTCAGCGTAGCCACTTGCTGAACAATAAGGGATATATGAAAAGGAATAAAATTAGGATAAAATCTTACTATAGACTTAGAGGTTTGCACATTATGAAGCCATTATTTAGTTTCATTGTTTCGAAAGAGAAACGGACGCGGCTGCTATTATTACACGTGAGCATGGATAGGTTACATTACGGACCTTTATACGTTATTATTAGTAATAAACAGTACTTTATATAAACTGGCTGACCTTGCGAGAATTTCCCACTCAACCCCGCAAGAGCTGCCAGTCAGACATCTTTAGATTCAGGGAACCAACCAATTTGATCAAGAATATGGATTCAAACTCACCCCCTATTGACCATGATTTCATGTTTGAGGAGATGCTGCAATTTCCCCGAGATCCAGCAGACCGAGGCACGATCAACGTGGAAGAACCTTTAACTTGGCATCGTTTTCCCCTCCCCCCTGGCCATGCTGAGGATTGGGAACATCTGGGTGACTACGAATTTGCCGAGAGATTATTACTGGATTCAGGATCCCCCGACTTTGAGGCAAGAGCCTTTTACTTTAAACTTCTGCGCGCGTGGCTCGAGGACTGCCACAACCACGACAGATGCAAATTGCCGCAAACCGAGCCTAAGTTTTGGCCAACAAGAGCCATCTTTGTTGGAGACCACGAGCAGTTGAGGCTCGTTGAAGAGCCAAGTGGCGATAGAGACTATCTTGTGCTCTCGCACTGCTGGGGCAAGCCAACTAAACAAGAATGGGAGGGTTTCTGCACTACTGCACGAAATTATCATAGGCGATTGAAGGGCTTTCGCTTGGATGACCTGCCAGAGACGTTTCGGGATGCGGTCGAGGTGACGCGGGAGCTTGGGAAACAGTACCTGTGGATCGATGCCCTCTGTATTATCCAAGGATCCGACGGTGAATGGGAAAGCGAGGCTGGCAAGATGGAGAGTGTGTTTGCCAATGCTTACTGCACCATAGCGGCAGATTCAGCTGGCGGCTGGAAGGATGGTTTCCTCAAGCCTGGTCTTTGGGATAGTATCGTTCCTGGGAGTGTGGAATGCGGCTGCGATTTTAAATCGGGTGTTGATGAAGGGCATCTGATGAAAAGAGCCTGGGTTATCCAAGAGCGGGTACTGTCTCGACGCACCATTCATTTCACTGAGAGTCCTGCCAATACGCCATACACATATTGGGAATGCGGCAATGGAGTCCGCTGCCAACAGTTCTCCTATATACGTCTGTAAGTCAGCAGTCTCAACTGGATTATGACAATGCTCACTGTGTTGGCAATACCCCTTATCCTTGCTAACGATACTCGAGACCACTTGGGGAGCACGGGTTTATTGTTGACCCATACTTTCCATCTCGACTGAAGAAGGCTGGATATTATCGTTGCCTCGAGTTTATCGAATTCCTTTTGGAGGGATATTCGAAATGCGGGCTCACCTACAAATCCGATAGAGACACAGCGATACGAAGCCTGCTTGAGCGCATGGGTCGTGAACTAGCCACCGATGTGAAATATGGCATTTTACGGTGCTTTATAGGCAGCCTACTGCTGTGGAAGAGAACTACCAAAGGAATGACACCACCGATCGACTTTGGGCGACGGACTGTCCCATCTTGGTCCTGGATGGCATACGACGGCAGCATCGAGTTCATAGATAAGTTTCGATATGAGCTTAGGATACCTCAATCAAAGGATCTAGAATTCGCCCAAGATGGGACAGAGCTAAGTGTCAAGATCAGAAGGTTCGAAAATTGCCACTTGGGAGAGAACAAGAGTGACGGTAATTATACTGTCAAGGGCATCCATGGTGCAACTGAGAATGTAGGGTCGATGTGGTATGACATGAAGGACCAGATCGAGTTCAACTACTGTGTCGTAGCTGGGGTCAATGGGGCAGGTATTCTGGATACTGATCCGAAGACACACTTAGTCATCATGGTTCAAGAAAAGCCAGGAGGAGGGGGGTACAGGAGGCTCGGGGTTGGCACTGTACATGATGGTTATTTGTCTACGAAGAGCGAGACTGGGAGGCTTTTGTGATGTTCGGTGGTTGACGAGATGCACCAAGCACAATGTCCTCCTTAGAGAATATTGTGGCGCGGTAATGCCTCTTAGAAGAGTATTTAGATTGATTTAGTTGCAAATCTATCTCATGTAGGGAGTGATCGTGTTGATCCAGGATCGTTTTCATTATCTCCAGATCAATCGAGCCGGATGGACTAGAATCCCCCTAATTAGTGGTCTTTGTGAACTGGTTTAGAAAGATAGCACACCATTTTCTCATTCTCTCGTTCTTGCTATTCGTTTTCTGAGTGTTATTGAGTCTTAAGCAACTCCGAGTCCATATATCTCATTTCCCAGGTGAAAGCCCAAAACCTATCCAAAACTTATCCACACACAATACCCGACCCTTCCTTATGCCAGTCCAAGAAGCTCCTTGGCCCGTTCCGATCGTGGAGTGATTTGACACCCAAAGTTGTCTGGAACTCCACTAAGTCCATTAGAAAAAGACACCTTGGGTTTTAACTCATTTCCAACTTCATCAACCGGACACTTCATATCCATGGTGGCTATCATGGTCGCAATTATGATATAAACGCCAGACAGGGCAAGATACTGCCCCGGGCACACCCTTCTTCCAAACCCAAAGGGCCCATCGGGGAGTGGCTCGCCATATCCACCCTCGGATACAGGAGCATATCTTTCCGGGATGAAGTCATCAGCAGACGAGTACACCTTCTCGTCGCGAGACATGGCCCAGGCATTGGCATAGACCACCGATCCAGCAGGGATGTGATATCCCTTGTAAGACTCGTCGGTGATTGTTGCATGAGGGACTCCAAGGGGTGAAAGAGGTGCCCACCTCGTCGTTTCCTGGATAGTGTATTCTAGAAACTTGAGTTGAGCCCGGTCCTCAAATTCAGGGAGACGTAGAAGGTCTCCGTTCTCATCGGTACCGATGACGTCTTCCAGTTCAGCACGTGCCTTTTGCTGCACCTCTGGATGAAGTATGAGATTCAACACGCATACAATAATGGTGGACCAGGTTGTGTTGCCTCCAGCAATAGAAATAGCCCCGGCGGCACCCTTCAGATCGTCGATTGTTGCCTCGTTCGGGACACCCTTGGCTTCATTCTCAAGATACCGCCCGAAATGCGTGAGCATAAAAGATGGGCGCGTTACTTTGGAAGCTCGCATCGACGGTTCAATCTTGTCCCACGGAGCGTCGTGCAGGTTTTGAATGGATGCCCTGGTGCGACGAGCATGGACCAGCGGACTCAACAGTTTGCTCATACTTGAGATGGCGTTGGGAAGATATCTCAGCGAAGGGAAGAAGTCGACCAGGCTTGCCGCAGGGACACCTCCCTCTCCAGTCGCCTCTTCCACGTCGATCGACATGCGGATATAGGGGTCATCCTTCTCTTGGATATCAATTCCAAATCCAATTTGAAGCACGACAGCGGTGGAGAATTGGCGCAAGAGCATTTCCCAGTTGTCTGGGCTTCGCAGGATGGCCCTGGATGCGCGGCGAGCTTCATCAATTTGGATCGGGCGGTATGCCTTGCATGCAGACTGGGTAAATGACTGCTGCAATAGTTTTCGATGCAGTTTGAATCGGGGAGACCATCGCAGGAAAGTGAGAGTTATGCCCCAGCCCATGACCTCGAATAAGACAAAACGAGGACGGTCGGCAAAGTTGGCTCCCCGTTTGTCCATTAGGTCACGGGCAGCCTGGACGCTGTTAAGGACGATGATGGAGCGACCCAGCATAGAGAAGTGCAAAATGTCGGAATTGTAATCTTTCCCCCATTGCGTGTAGGCGTATTCTGGATGGTCTGTTGGGATAACACGGAGGTGACCCAAGAGAGCTTCCCCAGGCGGCCCTGGAGGAAGCGGTAGTTTCTGGCTGTGGCCTATGTATCGCAGGAGAAGAGGTGCCACTGCCACCAATGCCAAGGCAATTGCCAGATACGCGAGTGGGATGTTGAGCAACATGGTTCTCGGTTGAGACCTAACCAATGGTCAAGGAGAACTCGCTTGGAGGGGTGCTGTTGATCGCAGGTACAGGCCTGTCAATTGGACATGAAGCTCATGGTATAATTACGGGAAATAAATGAGCTTCAAATGGTGAGAAATATGAACAATGCGATTGGCTTTCTCCAAGCGCTATCGGCTGTCTTTACGGCTCATCGATGGAATGAGACCCCATCTGACAGCTGCCACATGCCGGCCTTGTCTGGGGCACAGATTGTTTCCGCAGATCTGGTACCGTCGGAGATAAGCTCGTTCATGCCCCCATACGTTTGGTAAGAGATATCGGCCGGCCGGCAAGATAAGAGTTGAGGCCGGCAAGTTTGATAAGACGACTCCGCCTTGCCACCGTATACTGAGTTCGTACTAGGGGAACAAGCCCTCGATATTAGCTCGAGAACTTCAATATACATACTGAAGGCCGTAAGCGATCCCACTATCAACGCCAAGCTTAGAACAATCTTTTCACATTCTCCTCCGTCACCAAGTGATGATGGCTGCTGCAACGGAAACGCCGTTCACAGGGGCTACAGCCAAGGGACCTTTCACAACAACACCTTCGGCCACCGATCCATATACCTATCAAGTAGGCTTTGGCAATCGGTTCGCAACGGAAGCACTGCCTCAAGTCCTGCCTCAGGGTTGCAACACGCCCCAAAAATGCAAGTACGACCTCTTCTCAGAACAGCTGAATGGAACGCCTTTCATCTCTCCCCGTGCATCATTATTGCACGCTTGGTTTTACCGCATCAGGCCTTCGGTGGCGCATAAACCATTCAAGAAGATGCCTAAAAATCCAGACTTAGAGGCCACGTTTTCTCCCCTGAACCCAAATGTGGACTTCACACCACAGGACTTGGGTTGGTCCAAATTCGAACTACCACAGCAGAGCGAGTCGGTTGATTTCGTTCAGGGCTTAAAGACAATTGCCGGGCATGGCGACCCTACTTTGAAGGAGGGCATTGCTGTCCACGTCTACTTAGCCAACACGTCAATGAAGAAGAAGTCGTTCTGCAATAACGACGGAGACATGCTCATTCTTCCCCAGGAAGGCCGCTTGGATATCCAGACCGAGTTTGGGAAAATGATGGTGCGACCTGGAGAGCTCGTTGTTATTCAGGCAGGAATCAGATTCACCGTTGGTCTTCCAGACGGCGTTGGCCGCGGATACATTCAGGAGATCTACGGTGCTCACTATGAGCTTCCAGAGCTTGGCCCAATCGGGTCAAACGGCATGGCGTTGCCTCGCGACTTTGAAATTCCCGTGGCCAGTTTCGAAGTAGATCAATCCACCTGGGAGATGGTGGTGAAGCTGGCCGGAGAACTATTTGTGTATGAGCAAGACCATACACCGTACGATGTGGTCGCGTGGCATGGTAACTACGCTCCGTACAAGTACGCCATGGAGAAATTTATCAGTTCCGCGACAGTCGACAGAGATCAAAGCGATCCCTCAATCTACTGTGTCCTTACGGCCAAGTCCAAGATCCCTGGAGTCTCATTAAGTGACTTCCTAGTCTTCACTCCCAAATGGTGTGTCACCCGCAACACTTTCCGCCCCCCATACTACCACCGCAATGTAGCGACCGAGCTTATGGGGATGATGTATGGCCAATGGGCTGGTTCTGCCACCCAACTTGAGCCAGGAGGCTTGACCTATGAACCGAGCTATATGCCACACGGGGAATCATATTCGCGATGGAAGGAGGCGACAACTGCGGACCTACAGCCGCAACGAATCGGAGAAGGGGCCATGGCCTTCATGATGCACATTTCAGCTCATACTGGGCTCACTAAGTTTGCTCTTGAGCGGAGCGGGACACTTCAACCCATACCGGAGGATATGTGGGATGGCTTCCATGCCAGTTTCCTGGACCATTTAGAAAAGGCGAAGTCTGACCTTGAATCTTGTAAATAGCCTTGATATCCATAAAAACATTTCTATAATCTCAAAAAGGTCTGCGGTTAGTCTGATCGCAACAATCTTCATTCTTCATTGACCATCCATCATCTACAGGTTTACCTAGACTTTTGAATTTTGTTGCGAATTTGTTACTGCCAGTTGCTTGCTGTTACCAGGATTGCCCCATTAGTTTCAAAGACTTAACCTTATGTTAATCCCCCTAGAGTCGCCTTCTGATTAACTATTTACTGGTAACTAAGGGGGTGTTTAAGTGATAGCGATAGAGTAAACAAATACAACGAGGCACAGCGCTACAGAATTGTTCGAACCCCAATCTTCACAGGCAACGGCTGACAAAGGAGGTAAGCCTCGTGGACTTTGTCAAAGTGGATTCTATTTTGCCAGCCGGATGGGCCCTGATAAGCACCCTAGAAAATGTTATCTTGGTTCCGTCTCGTATCTAACCTCTCACCAACCAAATCTGGGATGGTGTCTTGAAATTTTGCCAGCCGGATGCAATCAAATTGATAAGCACTACTCATCTATGTTATCTTCTCAATGGGTCCCTAATCTCAACCGACTCCGGGGTGGCGGGTCAAGAAGTTACGACTCATCACAACTCTATCTCGGCTGAAACATGCGTGTTGCCCGCAATCATCAGATACAAGCCTATCAGGTTCTTCTCTTTTCTAATTAAAGTATTCCGTTAGAGCTTCGCTGCATAAAAAACCCCTGGGTGCCCCATTCATCCACATGAGCCCCGTTCCAAACAAAGAAGCTCAATCCTTTTAAGGCATTTTGCAACTTCAACCGCCAAAGAGGCAAAACAACCAATCATCTCGCCACTTGCCTTGTCTCAATCATGGACGAAAGAAACCAGGAGAACAAAAAGTACATAGACAGCACCCCAGAGAAATCAGTGGATGTGGGCGTCTCCGAGTCTCAAGATTATAGCCGAGCACCAAAAGGATGGCTAGGGAAAATCGCCAGTTGGGGCATTGAGCTCCGCGGTGTGACACCTGTGCCACTGGAAGAGAGGACAGACAAGCGATTCATCAATGTCTTCTTTGTTTGGTTCACGATGAGTACCAATCTGCTTCCGTGCGTGACAACCTTTTGACACCACAATCTACACGCGTGCAGAAGACATTGCTAACATGCGCGATCAGTATCATCACAGGCATGGTGGGAACATTGATCTTTGGTCTCAGTCTCCGGGACTGCTCTCTTCTGATCCTCTTCTTCAGCCTTCTCACCACGACTCCCGCAGCATACTTTAGCACCTTCGGAGCTCGCACTGGCCTGCGACAAATGCTTCACGCAAGGTTTACTTTCGGGTAAGAAACGCGTGTCAAGCAACCCCATACATAGCACATTTAACTGACTCAGTCCAGATACTATTTGATATCGATCATCGTTCTGCTCAATCTCGCCACCATCGCCGGTTTCGGTGTCATCGACTGTGTCCTCGGCGGCTCTACATTGGCAGCGGTTTCGAGCGGGAAAATCGACAGCACGGTGGGAATTGTCATCATCGCTATCGTGGGTATGGTTATTTCTTTTGGTGGCTATCGCGTGTTGCACCAGTACGAAAGATACTCGTGGCTCTTTGCCCTCATTGCTATCACCATTGCCACTGGCACTGGTGGCAAAGAGCTCTTCAACCAAGTCGAGCAACCTACCCCTGCAGCAGCCACGATCGTAAGCTATGGCGGAGTTATAGCAGGCTTCCTCATCCCTTGGGCTGTAAGTCACTTCTCCGGTTACTCTTCTTCCTTCTTTTCGCGTCCTCTTAGACTAACTTACCTATCTTCAAGGCCATGGCGGCTGACTTCTCCGTTTACTGCGATACCTCCGTTTCGACATCCCGAATCTTTTGCTATACCTACGCCGGCCTATTCTTCCCCACGGTCCCTCTCATGGTTCTTGGAGCAGCTATTGGTGGTGCCACCCCCAACGTGCCAGATTGGAATGAAGGCTACGAGCTGTACAGCGTCGGCGGTGTGCTCCAAGCCATGTTGTTCCCAGCAGGAGGCTTTGGAAGATTCGTCGCCGTCTTGCTGTCTCTCTCCGTTATCGGAAACTTGTCCGCCGCCATGTATTCGATCTCGCTCAACTTCCAGCTCCTGCTTCCGTTCCTGATCAAGGTCCCTCGCGTGGTGTTCTCGGTTGTCTATACCTGCGTCGCCATCCCCGTGGCCATTTTCGCGGCCAAGTCGTTCTTCGCAAGCCTGGAGAACTTCATTTATCTCATCGCCTACTGGTCAGCGGCCTTTGTGGCGGTCGTCAGCACGGAACACCTCGTTTTCAAGAAGCGCAACCATTCTGCCTACGACCCTACCGTGTACAATGAACCCAGCAGGCTTCCAACCGGGATTGCGGCGATCGGAGCGATGGGTCTGAGCTTTGGGCTTGCGGTTCCGTGTATGTCTCAGGTATGGTACACTGGTCCGATTGCAGAGACTACGGGAGACATTGGATTCGAGGTGGCTCTGGTTCTTGCGGCTTTGCTATACATCCCACTCCGGTTCGTTGAGCTGAAGATCCGTAAAGTTTAAGTAGAGTTAGAGAGTCTGTGAAAGGCATTGAGTTAGGATACTAATAGTGAAATTGGTCGGTTAAGATTTAATAAAGTACGCTTTGAAAGCGTCTCTGACGCTGAGATTCTACAGCCGGGAAGAGAATTTCCAAGTATCCTATTGATATATAAACTTCGTGATGACACCCTTGATACTTTATTAATTCAAGTAGTCTTTGAAACCTTCCTCAAAATACTCCTCCTGGATTCTACTGAAGCCCACCTCCGGGCTGTCGTACGGCCATGGCAGGGTGTTTCCACTCGCAAAGAGCACAAACATCACACCATCAAATCCAACAGGCAGAACGCTCGGTGAGAAATCCTTCACCCATGTTACAGTGCTGTTGCTGGTGGAATAACCTAGACTATACTGCGTGGGCTTTGCACGGATGTGCAATTTGAAGTCACCGGTGATCTTTTCTAGGCCAACAGGAAATTCAGTAGTCTAAGTTTATGCAGAGGTTAGCGTTGTTAATTCTGGTTTTATTAAATCGACGGGAGCATACCTCTGGCGGAGTTCCTGGACCGGGCGACTTCACTGTCGAATCAACAAAAACACATATTCCCTCAGATTTAGAGCAACCTCGAAGACCAATGTCCTGATGGGCTTGCTCCGTTGAATAGGCTGAGATTCCCACAGACTGGTAAGGCCCAAGACCCTTATCGGTAGGGAGCAGGCTGGCGGTCAAGGTCATGTTGACTGACTTTTGTTTTCGGAGAATGGCGGCAGGTGTATCGCGGTCAGACAGAGTATATGCGTTTGGAACAAACACCACACCCTTGCCTTTGGCGACGGAAAAGTTCTCAGTGTAGGGGGATCTAAGCTGGTACCAACTGGGATCCAGAGCTGGACCATCAAAGTTATCCTCGTAGGGCTTCGGGACAGCCTCTCTATCAGGGCCATACTCTGGATAACGCTGGCTTAGGAGGACAGGTTCACCATTGTTCATTATCGGCCATCCGTCTTCCCATTCCACGGGGGCGAAGAACGTCTCCCTACCCAGTACCGTGTAACTACCTACATTTCGCTTTGCCAGAAAAGTGGCAAACCATTTACCGTCTGGTGTATCAGCGAAGGTGGCATGCCCGGTTGCGCTGACCGTCAGGTTTGTGTTGGCACCGTTGAATATCAGCGGGTTTGTCGGAGAGGACTCCCACGGTCCTTCGGGGGAGTCTGAGCGGGCAATAGTAGCTCGGTGAGTTACCCCAGTGCCGCCTTCAGCAATCAAGAGGTAATAGAAGCCGTCTTTGTAGAACAACTTTGGACCTTCGGGTCTGGTAGAAGTTGTTACAGGCAGTGTCCCATTCCAGATATTGCGGTAGGGGCCGACGCATTTCCCGTTCTCGAGATTCACTTCGCACTGAGAGATACCCCAGAGCTTGTCGTAGCCATTGTTTAGTCCCATAAGCGACAGGTAGCTTTTCCCCGACACCGGATCTTTGAACAAATGGGGGTCGATCCCAAGAGGCTCACTCCATACAGCATCAGACCAAGTCTTGAGGTCTGGAGAAGTGACCCAAAAAATGCGAGGCCAGGAGCGATAGTCGGGATCGGAGCCGGTCATCGCCATTGAGGTCATGTAGAACAGGCCGTCAATATATGACAAAGATGGTGCCCAAACACCTTACACAAAATCAGTAAAGCTCGCTTAAACACAGTGACATGATATACCATTATTGTTTCTGACGCCAGTGATCGGGACATTTTTTGGGTTGTCTAGAGCATGTGAAACAAGCTCCCAATTGGAGAGATCTTTTGACTTGTAGATTGGAATTCCGGGATACGTCAGAAACGACGAGACCGCAATATAGTAGGTATCATCTACACGCAAAACGTGCGGGTCCGGATTCCAACTGTAATGCATTAGCGCCTGTGAAACTCAGACTTATTGCCAGAATTTGCCCTCATACCCTGGAATGAGAGGGTTCCTCAAGGCTGAGGCGATCGAAGCCAAGGCGAGGCACAGAAGTCCCGCCACTCGATGGAATCTTGGCATGTCGGCGAATCAGTTATCGTTACACTGGACTCGTCATTTAAAGTTTCTCGGCTAGAAACAGAGGCTGGAAGCTCCGGGTTTATATCTTCTAGTCTTCTGTCTCGAAAACGCGGGGGGTAATATTTCATGTTCAAAATAGCACAGAAAGAAGCCGCGAAAGAGTGGTTCAGGCTTCTAATTTCCCTGAGTGGGTAAAGTTCTCTATCTGGGATATCTTTTTCCCATCAATTAATACGTAGAATGAAACAACGTCGAAATCACCCGAACAAAGTAACATGAACAGATGGGCCAAGTTCGGAATAATTCACCCAAAAACCCGATCCCAATGGCAACAAAATGCCGGCTAATTATGGAGGCTTTTGGTTCATTTACCCTTATAATATTATCCAATCCATTTCTTACATCCGGTTGCCTTCACGTGAGCAAGTCCGTTTTGCGCTGCAGAGACTTAGGCTAAACAACCTGCACATTGTCTTCCTACCAAAGTGGCGATGAACATCGAATCCCTGTCACTCAAACAAAACCGGGATCTTCGACCTGTATATCTCAAAAAGTGATTCTCAGGCACTCTAAATACCCGTCTCAGTAAAATCTTCACCTCCATTGAAAAGAGGGATGCTGGTGAGGGAATATTTCTCGACAAAACAGTGCTGTAGGGTAGGTGAATAGTTGAGCAGAAATCAATGGGAGTCATGTCAAGTGTTAAAATTGAGATTGGCAATCTACTAGCGAGTCCATCTTCAAGCGAGACGATATTCTATGCCAGAAAATTCCCTTCCCCTTACAGTTAACTCGTAGGTTTATTCACAAATGACATTAGATATTTTGTATTGCTGCTTGTTTCGATGATCCTCTCGAAAGCCACCCGACGACTGTGTTTGCCAGGGATCCAACGGGTCGGAACGTGGAGGCGACTCAAGTGAGGCGCCAGTGGAACAAGCAATGGCATGTGGCACATTATGACGTACCTAGGCGCTGCTACTAGCTTTTCTTTATTCATCCATTAGTCCGTAAGCATCCCTAGTCTTGTCTCGGTAATTTCCGTCTCACAACTGTGTGTTCATAGTCAGAATATCTACACTCCGAAATTAGAAAGTCTGTCTAAATTAAACTTGGTATTATCAATCACCAGTAGCCTGTTCATTTTGGAATGAATCAAGAAAAGGGGCAGATATGTTGTTGCGCTCAAGATGCTGGATCTCCTCCCAATATCGACCTGTGACCAGATAGTTGTGGACATTCAATAGCACTTGGCGGCATTGCAATAGAACGGTATCTGAACGATGGACGAGCGGTTGATCAACTTCCCCCAAGATGGGTCCGTGAGGCTGTATAATGGGCCTGGACATCCCCCTAAAAGTAGTTGAAGGGCCTAGAACCGAGATACGACACGCGATCACTGGGGCTGTGACAGTAAGTTCAGCGATGAGTGGCACGAGCCTCCACGACCGTGCTCAACCATCTGACAACCTCCGCATTCACACAATCTACCCCATACTCTTGCATCACGATATTGGCACTAAAGAGTTGCTGTTACATAATGTTAATGACTTTGACATCGAGAGTCCACGACGAACAAGGATATGGAGAGCATATCAGGTTCCACATTGTGGATTTACCAACTGTCCTCATCCTCCTGTAGTTTGGCGGGGGAGGAGCAATAAGTAGCTTTTTAGCTGCTGCAAGAAACGGATGAGAGAGTTCGAGTATAACGCTAAAAACAGCAATGAAAGATTGGACCTGCCATCTTAACACAATGAATAGCTGCTGCAAGAAACATCCTAGCGAAAGGAGCTCCTCTTGGCTTTTGCAAGGTATTCGAAGGGGACTTCCCAGAAACAGCGTTGGTGATGTGAGGCAAATCGCCTCCCCGGAGAAGATCCGTTGATAGGTCTTGCCCCTTTGATCGAGAGGAAAGGGGTCCCACGGGAGCGTCCCGAGTTGGACAGACGGGCCAGTTTCACACACACGATCGTTCCAGCCATCGAGATGCCCTGCTCAGACAAATCAAGCTAATTCCGGAGGTTAGTCTTCGCGAGCTGAAGATGGATAGCTCTATCGCCGGACAAATGAGGGCATCTAGAATTGAACACGTAGGTGGATGGATAGTCGAGACCACGCCGCCATGAATCCATATTCCTAATCGAGATGCTGAGCGCGTCATATCTTGATTGTTCAAATCATTTGCTGATAGCTCAATGACTCATTCACATTGATAAACAGGCCGGGGTAGTGATGCCTTCAAGCATGCCTCGTATACAAGGTATCATGAGGTACCCGCTGAGAGGCTGGATGAGCCAATTAGCGCCACAGGCCGCGGAAACCTTCCCGAACGAATTTCTTGTTCTGGCAAGACATCTCGGACGAGTGGCCATATCAATCCAGACATCCCCAAAGATTGCCCACTGAGTCAAGATGAAAAGATAAGGGTGAGGCCACGCTGCAAGGGAACGATGTTCCAAAGAGCAGCCGTGCAACCATGATCGAGACTGATATCGGGACACATCCCGCCCCGGGACGATTAGTGTGCGAGATGCTGATAAGCCGCAGGCTAAGGTGGTGTCGAGCTGAGCCTCTCGATCCAGAGTTGAGTAAGCCTACCCAGCTATCTGGAAGGCTCGGGAAGGCTTCCCTCTGCCGCGGTCGCTGTCCTCAGGGCACACACGAACGGTCAGTGCCAGAGCACACCTCCTCGGGGGGAGCCCTTCCAATATGAACCTGAGGAAGGTGGAGGCGACGAACATGGGCTTCTGTCTCACGCTACTGGGTTGACCTGCCTTGAACGTCGGGACTCGTGCCGGGGTTGTGTGGACCGGCACTACGGCTAGCAACAGACACTACGGCCTTGGCGATGTCACTACGGTCATGGGCACCAATCATGGCTGATGACGGGCAGGGCCATGACATGATTAGATGACCTGCATGCATAAGAGAGACAGCCGACGAACGGCTCAAACATCGGTTGGGCGGCTTCAGGGGATGCTTATCATGCAGCGCAGACGCCCGCCCGTTGACGCTTACGTTCAGAGTTCAATGTTGTGTTATCATCAAACTCCACACCGTAGTTATTGAATCATGAATTGACTGACTGATTGGAGATCTCTGGGTGGCACGGAAGCTTTATTAATTTGCGCTAGCTGAGACGGCAGACATGAATGCTAGTCATGACATGCCACCCTCGTGTGTTCTACGGCCCCAATCCCGAATATCACCACTGAGTACAGGGGCAAATACACGAACAGGAGGGTCTAGACCGTCAATATCGTCAGCTTGCTTGCATGTTCGTGGTACCACGCTAACAGGTTACTATCTTGCTTATCACTCGATCTCCCCATTTCCATGCACCTCTATCATGATAACAGTGGCGAACCTGCAGCAGGAAGTCTGGGGAAGTGGGTATAAGGAAACGCGGGGGACCGATGACTCTCCTAGAAAGGCCCCTTGCACACCACTTCCCAGTTCCCACCCACCCAATCTAGTTCGGTCCTTCCGTGTGTCGACTATCTCAACTACCATAAGATAAAAGGTCGATCCTCCCCCCTCAACTTCCCTGCTTGTCACTCCCATCATCCCCATCACATACTCGCACATTCTTCTTCTTCCCTCATTTACTTGTGAGATCCCACAAGAGCTCACTCACAATGTCTGCAAATCATGAACCCGTGAAGGTTGACCAGTCTTCCAAGACTGGGTCCATGGAGAAGGAGCCCATTGGTTCCATGGAGAGAGTCGGCAGCGTCGTTGACGCTGACGTCGAGGAGAAGAACGGACAGTTCCACCGTTCTTTCACACCCCGCCAAGTCCACGTAAGATCAAATCTCTCACGAACCATGACATGAAGTCCGCCAGTTTGGCTCACCAGTTCCCCAGATTATCTCTCTCGGATCCAATATCGGCAGTGGTGTCTTCATCGCCACCGGCAAGGCTCTCGCCACCGGTGGGCCTGGCAACATGGTCATCGCCTATCTCATGGTCTGTAGCTGTGTTTGGTCCGTCCTCCAGACACTCTCCGAGATGACCATCGCCTTCCCCGTTTCCGGAAACTATATCGACTATGCCGACCGATGGGTTGATCCTGCCCTGGCTTTTGGTGCTGGTTTCGCAGAATGGCTGGGTTAGTGTTGGACACGGTTCTCGAAACAGCCACGGCCTGAATACTAATGTTGAGAATAGGCTGGACCGCAATCGTCGCCGCTGAAGCAAGCTTCTTCCACATTCTCATCGGTTTCTGGTCCGAAGGCCATTTCCCTCTCGCAGCGACAAGTACGTCAAACCCCACGTCCGATTCTAATATCCAAGCTAATGTCAAAATGTAGTCAGCTTGTTTCTTGTCGCCTGCCTGGTCATCTTTCTTCTCCCCAACACGGTCTTCGCTTGGTTCGAATACGTCACATCTATCATCAAGATCTTCCTGTTCCTCATGATTATTATTCTTTCATTGGCTCTAGTCCTTGGAGCGGGACCCAACGGCAAAATGCACCACGGAGAGACATGGACGGACTTCCCAGTGTTCCTCAACGGCTTCGGAGTATGTAAAAACACCACACTACACGGATGTGTATGGACCCCTTAAAAGCTAACAATATCAAAGGATTTGCCAACTGCGCCCTCCTTGCTGTTTGGGCTGTTGGTGACCAGGTCTTCATTGGTATCATGGGAGGTGAAGCCGAGAGCCCTCGCTTTTCCATGGCCCACGCCACAAAGCTTGTGCCGTTCCGGGTCAACTTCATCTACATGCTCAGTGTTGTCTTCGTCACCCTTCTTGTGCCATCCAATGACCCCCGCCTGTTGGGTGGCGGTGGAGTTGCTGCCTCTCCCTTCGTCATCGCCGTCCAGGACTCTGGCATTCCGGCCATTGGATCCATTCTGAACGCTGGTATGATGGCTGGTGTCCTCGCCATTGCCGCAGAGTCGGTGTACCTGTCTTCTCGTGTGCTCCGAAGCATGGCCAACCAGAAGCTCATTCCCGAACGTTTCGCCGGAGTCGATGCCCACGGACGACCCAGGTGGGCTCTCCTGATTACCAGCGTCTTCGCCATTCTCCTCTCTTATATTCAGCTTTCTGGTAAGTTAATCTAATGCGCTTCATCGGCGGTCAAGAGATAGGGAGCCCAGCTAACAAATTAAATAGCCGGCGGTCTCGTCGTCTTCAACTGGTTGATTGGCATCACCAGCGCATCATTCTTCACCAACTGGATCATCATCTCCTTCACCAACTGGCGTTTCCATTGCGCGCTCAAGGCCCAGAATGATCAGCTCTTTGGCGAGACATATGCCTGGAAGTCCTCTCTCTGGCCTCTGGCCCCCGCCGCACTGATGGTTGTCTCCATTGTGCTTCTCGTCTGCTGCTTTTTTGCTGGAGTTTCTCCTGTTGTAAGAATACTCACAACTAGCATCCAACTTCCATGAAATCAGACTAACATTACTTCTCTAGGGCGGTCTTGGATTCTCTGCTGAAAACTTCTTCCAATACACATTCGGTTTCCTCGTCATTGTCTTCTTCACAATTGGCTACAAGCTCATTTTCCGAACCCCATGGCGCGACCCAGCCACTGCCGACCTCGTCACCGGCCGACGAACTCTCGGCGCCGATGAGATCAAGCAACTGGACGACTACTACAGGCAGCCTCCTTTCAGGCGATTCCTGACATATGTCCAGCTTTGGTAATGGCGCTTTGCAGACCAATACAGGGGAAGATGGCGCATCTTTCCTCTGTGGGAATTGGCTTTTACCGCTCCGCGCTTATCGTTTCCTGTTGGGAGCCAGCCGGATTAGATGTACAAATGCAACATTTTATTTTCACTTTCAATGATGAAGCTTGGTGATATCTGTGACAATTAATCGATAGAAATTCTCATCGCATTCTGATTTGACTTGCCGACCCGGATTACCTTCTAACCTGATCTGAGTAAGGTGTATCTATTACATCCTGACCAGTGACATCATAATACCAGCGAAAGAATAAGTGGTAGTGGCTAGGATGCCACAATTATTAATGAATCTCTGTTTCCTCAGAACATCACAGGTTAGTGAGGCTTTCCCGCGAGGATCTGAAGACTCAATAACGAAGTTGTGTTTTAGATCAGAGTCTAGAAGCAATTATGACCTTATCTGTATGTCACACTCTCTACTTGTCCTTATTCTCGAGTACATGGCGTACTAACTGGGAAATCTCTCAGGAAACTGGGCATTAATCGTAGACCATAGATTTCCGTTCGTTTCTTCGTGTTCCACCCGACAATGGAATGGCTCAACACGCCATGCCGTTCCGCTCATCCAGATTCCGAGACTGGCTGGCTCGCCACCTCCTCACTTGTCTCCTCGCTCAGCCCTCCCCTCCTGAGACGGCACTCATAATAGTACATTTCATCACCACTGGCGTCAACAATCACCTCGACAGGGTGCCAGGTTGGCTCCTCTACGCCGGTCCACTCAATCAGGAATTGCTGAGATCGTCGGCCGCCACGGATAGCCAGGACGGCGAAAACGTTGAGCTCGAGGGGGTGGTCGGGATTGGGTGGTCGTCCGCCGAGGCTGTTCCAGTGCTGGATCAGGATTCTCTTGTCAAGCCCGTGGATGGTGTCCTCCGCCTCCCAGGTTTTCTCGCCAGTCGCCCACTCGACCTGGATCTGGATCTGGTTGTCTTCCCAGCGGTGCTCGTGAAGCTGGAGAATGGCAACATCGTCGTCGTCGTCGTCGTCGGCGCCGGTAGCTTCGTCATCGTCCTGCTCGGAATCGGAATCGCTGCCCATGTCTTGGGGGTAGACGGTCCATACGCGCTGGTTCTGTTCATCCGACCAGAGGATCTAGCTCTCTCGGATTTTGGTCACTCCGTTGCGAGGCATGGTTGAGGGGTCGGTTTTGGGCGACGAGTTACTATTGACGAATTACTGTCGGTGCCGTCGCGTCGCGGGCATCAGGATTGGCCCTCGGCTTCGTGCAGAAGCAAAAGAAATAAAGGAATCTAAAAGACTCGATTGTAGAATTTTCCAGGCTGTGGAAACGATGAGGGGGGGAGAAGCGTTGATCTGCGACTGAGCCAGTGCGAGGTGGAAGTTGCAACTTTAGGTGAAGGGCAGCTGTCTGCAGATGCAGCGAGATTTCACGTGACTGCAGCTGCCTACTAACTTCACTCTTCTCCTCGGTGAGAGAGTTGAAATATGGTGTAAAAACAATACTAGAAGAGACTAGACTTAATATCGTAATATAATAAATATAAAAGATAAAAATAAGCTCTTTCTTATACTAAGTTATATAGTTAAAACGAAAAATTATAGTAAAATATTATATTTTTTAATATTTAATTAAAGACTTCTATAATTAATATTATAAATAAAGGCCTCTATTAAGCTATAGGAAGTTATATATAAGGTAGATTAATAATAAGCTACCTTAGTAATTAATAAGAGGCTAACTTTACTTAGATTAAGTAAAGTCCTAGGTAAAGACCTTTATAAACTTATTAGTAAATACTTTAGTATATATATATATTTATTTCTTAGATAGAAATACTCTTTTAAATAGTTATTAATATAATTATTATTACCTTTATTAAAACTAGCTCCTTAATACTTATATATTAATAGTAACTTATATAGTACTAAGATAACTTAATTATATTACTTAAAATAATACTCTAATTAATTTAACCTTAATTTATCTTAGACTTTATTTAATATAAGTTAACTAACTATTATATATTAATAACTCTTATTTAGCTAATTACTTTATCTTAATTACTATATAATAATAAAAAGATATTATAGCTACTATAGTTAATCCTACTTAGTAGATTAATACTCCTACTATTACTATTACTTATTAAGCTATTATTATTAATATTATAGATAAAGATAGTAATAATAATAGTAAGGAGGAAGATAATAATAATATTAAAGTTTAACTCCTTTAGGAATAAGTTATATAACTTTAGGAATACCTTATAACTATATAATAAGAAATAGCTACTATAATTAACCTTATAGGATAATAAGCTATATAGAATATTAACTTATAAGCTTAAGCTTAAGCTATAGCTTATAAGAGAGAGCTAGGATAGCTACTTAAGCTACTACTACTTAAGATATTTAATAAAACCTAAAATAAGCTTTAAGGATTTATTATATAACTTTAAGTATACTTTAATTACTTCCCTATTACCCTTAATATAAGTAAGAGGTAAATTATATATACTTACTTATAACTTAAGGGAATTATACTTAATTAGTTTAAACTTATTATAAGGGAATACTTTAGTAAATAAGGAAATAAGTAAATTATAAATATTATAATAGATTTTAATTATTTTATAAAAGTCCTTTAAAAGACCTTTAGGATTTAAAATAAGAAGTATAAATTAGAATATAAGATTAACTTACTTTTTTAAACTAAATTATACTTAACTTTTAGTACTTATATTATAAATAAAAGCCTTCTAAATAAGTTATATAGTTATATATAGACCTACCTTAAGATTAAAGTAATAAAAGTAATATACTTTTATTATAGAATTAATAAGTTAATTAAGAGTAATATACTCTTAATACTTTATAAATAATATATATATATATTTATTTCTTAAATAAGAGAACTCTCTTAAATAGTTATTAATACTATTATTATTACTTTTATTAAAACTAACTCCTTAATACTTATATATTAATAGTAATTTATATAGTACCTAAATAACTTAATTATACTATTTAAAATAATACCTTAATTAATTTAACCTTAACTTATCTTAAACTCTATTTAATATAAGTTAATTATTTATTATAAATTAATAACTCTTATTTAGCTAATTACTTTATCTTAATTACTATATAATAATAAAGAAGATATTATAGCTTTTACTATATTTACTAATAATACTTTAGTAAAACTAACTACTTAAGAGATAATATAAAACCTTATTATATAAATTAATTATTTTAAGTATAATAAGTAGTTAACTTATACTAAATAGAGTCTAAGGTAAGTTAAGATTAAATTAATTAAGATATTATTCTAAGTAGTATAATTAAGTTATTTAAATATTATATAAATTACTATTAATATATAAGTATTAAAAAGCTAATTTTAATAAAAGTAATAGTAATAATATTAATAATTATTTAAAAGAGTTCTTCTATTTAAGAAATAAATATATATATATATTACTTATAAAGTACTAAAAGTATATTACTTTTAACTAATTTATTAATTTTATAATAAAAGTATATTACTTTTATTACTTTAATTCTAAGATAGATTTATATATAATTATATAACTTATTTAAAAGGCCTTTATTTATAATATAATATCCCCTCCTTATTAATCTTATCTTTAAGATTATATATTTAATTAATAAATCTCCTTTTCCTTTCTTCCTATATATTATAATTATATTATAATATTTACTATATTTAATTATATTTAGAAATCTTTATATTTAAAGACTTATAAATAAGTTCTTCTTTCTATTATTATTTAAATATTTAATCTTCTTATTAATATATTTTATACTTTTTATTTTAAAGTATAAAAAGAATATATTATTTCTTTTAAGAGGAAATCCTTTAAGTATAATAAATATATATATTCTAATTACTAATATAATAATATATTAGTAACTTTAAACTATAAATTTTACCTTCTTATAACCTTATTCTTTATTCTTAACTTATTTTTAATTAAAAAGCTAATAACTTAATAAAAGAAGTTAATAAAGGAGGAGTTAGATATAAATAGAAAGATCTTTCTTTTTTATAAATAAATAACTTAGTTTTAAAGTAATCTCTCTATAGCTTTAATTATATTTAGTAAATTTATAAAATTTAAAGTAAAATTAAAAGTAAAATATATTAAGAGATTTAATAAAGCCTTTAAGAATTAAATTAAAAGAATTAAATTCCTTAAAGCTAAATACTTAATATCTTAAAATCCTTTAAGTACTTTATTATTAAAAAGGTTTATTTTTTTAGTATTACTTTTATAATAAATTTAAATTTATTAAGTTTAAAAAAGAACTTCTTTAATTTAAACTTTTTATTTTTAATAAAATTATTAAATTAAATATTAATAATTCTTTAAATACTTAATAAGTTCTTATATATTATTATTTTTATTATAGCTTTTTTATTTTATTAAATAAAATATTTATTTATTCTTAATTTCTTTTTTTAGGATTTTTTTAATTTAAATTCCTCTTTATAGACTTTAATTAAGTAATTTTAGTTTAATATATTTTCTAGTATTTTCTTAAGTAATAAAATATAAAAAACTAAGTAAATATATATTATATTTAATAATAATAGTTTATAATTAATATTTAATTTTTTCTTTAAAATTTTAAATAGTTTAAGTTTCTTATAATTTAATTTATTATTTAACTTTATTATTATAATATTTTTTTTAAAGTAAATAAACTTTATATCTCTCTTTTAAGATTAATCTCTTAATCTTATTTTATTATAGTATTTCTTTATTTTTTATTATATAAATTTTAATTTAGCTTATATTTTTATATATAATAAATATAATATTCTTTTATAAGTATAATAATAAGTATTATTTAATTTATTAAGTTTTAGTTTATTTAAGAACTTTAGTTTATAATTATAGTTTATATATATTAATAATAATTAAGTTAATTTTTATATTATATTATTATATATAATTTATATTATAAATAATAATTATACTTAATTATTTATTTATAATTAATATATATTTATAAGTATTATTTTAATATTTAGTTTAAATATTTTATTTATTTATTACTTTATAAATAATAAATAATTAAAAGCTTATATTTTATATCTATTTATACTAATAAAAATTACTAAAACTTAAAGGTAAATATTATTCCT